ATATCTGTAGTGAGTAACTTAAAACATTAAAAAAATTTTTTTTTATTTAGTACATGCGACACACACATACCATATCGACTATTATCTTTTTGATATAGTTCTCTTAAATTTGGAGGAAGAATTTCAAGATCGACTTTAATTGTTTCGTCAACATAATCTTCTGGTTCATCGTCATCCTCTAATAGCAGATAAATTTTGTTACGTTCACATTAAAAATATGATTACTCGTATGAATTATATTATAATAACCTTCAGATTCAGAACTATTGTCCATAATTTTATTATTATATACATTTTCATCAGTATCGACTTTTTTACGATGTTCTTCAGCATGTAAAGTTTCGGCTATAGATTGCTTTGATTCCGAAGATAAATAAGGATCCATTGAAGTATTCTTTTCAAATAAAAAAAAAGTATCTTATGTTGAACTTGTTCTGTTAAATTAATAATAAATTGTATTATAAATGATAATATTAAGCATACTTTAATCGAGTCGAATTCCATAGAATGTCTCGCCGAAGAACCATTGCTAGAAGCGATATACATAGAGTTGTCATCGGAAAGCACAATCAAGGTATCACGATTTTGCTTTCCAAGCATCTCACAGTCATATTTAACGCCATATTCTACCGAGTCATTATACAATATCTCCTTAGAGTTATATATATTTACATTATTTGAAACGCTTAGAAAACCTTTTTCAGACAAAGGACCCACATCTTCAGAAGAACTTCTAGGAGATAGATCACCCGAAGACAAATTAATTTTTGGAGATGATGGAGTGTGATCAGCTAATCCCCTGATTGTTCCAACTTGACCATCACCATTATCATCAATCTCGGTATCAGACCGACCTCGCTTATTATGTTTCCTATCTTTACGCTTAAATAAACTTAATAACCCCTTTTTAGATTTGCTTTGATGATCATCCTTAGTTATAGGAGAAGGCATGCCATTCAAGCTTAGAGTTCTTGAATGTTTTCCACCACGACGTCCTTCCTCTGCTGGCGGACTTGGTTCTTCTTTTACTTGCGATGGAGGAATAAAAATTTGAGATAATCTACGATAGGGTAAATTTCTCTTGGAGGCACTAGGTTCAGACCCTACGCGAGACAGGGCA